GGGTCATTGATGTTCCAGTAGATGCAGCCAACGCTGCATCAGTTATACAGAGTGCCACTGAGGAACACGCACATCACTACATGCTTTGTGCAATTTACAGTGAGTTAATTTAAAATTTTGGAAGAATATTAATTTTTTTTTCATTTCAGACATGAAATCCAATGTATTAGAAATATTAATACAGCAGTTTAATTAGAAATCCTTATGTAGGAACCAGGACACAATGCAATCAACACATAGAAATTGAGGGCATGGTCTGGCGCTTCCTGGCATGTAGAAATGTTTGAGACAAGATTATAAGCATGTTGCACTAACCATAAGTTCACAGTTGGATGCTTGTTCAATAAAGTAGTTCTGTTTAGCTGCAGCAATTAAATTAGCCCAGAAAATAACACCACATCTCTCACACCTTGCTATGCTCCTTCTCCTTCCCAATGTCACTACTGACCTTTTCTGCAGCTCTTCACAATTATTTACGTTTTTCAATAATTACTGACAATATATCTAAGATTTCTGTACGAACCTGAACGTCACTAACACCTGTGGATGATGCAACCAGCCATTTAAAGGAAGTAGTTTTGTGGCAGCTGTTAGGAACCAACATGGATGCTTCCTCCATATTGCAAGTTTTCTTAAGAAAGGTACCACTTACCAGACAAGTTACTCATCGCATTCCTAAAACCACTGGGGAATGTGTAGGAGGTGCTCTTTAGAAAATAAAAATAATACCTTTACTTAACAATAAACACACACGTGTCCACTAGAGTAGCAATGATTCCTTACATCCTCTGACAGGTGATGGCTCACATGAATCCAGACTTTTGTGGATGACACATGTTCAGGGACACATGGAGATCACACATGTAGCAGTGAATTTAATGCCTCCATGAACAGTCTTTTAAGTAGATTTATGGTTTCTATAGATGTACAGATTAGAAGTACATGCAGATTAAAAATGCAGGATTTCAACAAACACTTGGGTTCCTACCCTAATTTAACAAGTGCTCGGGCAGAGGAGAGAGGAGTGGAGGACAGCCTTGCAGAGGCACGGGGTTGGTGTTGCACTCCTGACTGTGCCGGGATACTAAAATGATGCACCCCACGACCTGACTTACACAGCCTGGACCACTCCACAACCCAACTTACACAGCCTGGACCACCCCACAACCCAACTTACACAGCCTGGACCACAACACAACCCAACTTGCACAGCCTGGACCACAACACAACCCAACTTGCACAGCCTGGACCACAACACAACCCGACTTACACAGCCTGGACCACAACACAACCCGACTTACACAGCCTGGACCACAACACAACCCGACTTACACAGTCTGGACCACCCCACAACCCGACTTATACATCCTGGATCTCTGATGCTGCAGAGTGGAGCTGAGCCTCGTGCCTGGCCCAGGATCTTCAGCAGTTCATCAAGGGCTTGTGGTGGCAGCATCTCACCCCACATCCCACTGCGGGGAGCAGGGACTGAGCAATGCCCCCCCTTCCTTTATCCTCATTGACAAAAGGTAGGAAAAACCTTCTGCCACGATGCAGCTTTGATAAGAGAAAGTAAGAATTCCACTAACAGCTGTGGCTTCTGTCCAGGAGAGCACAAGGACAGGAGACATCCCAGTAAGGACGTTGGTGCTTTAGCAGCAATAGAGACCATCTCAGTTTTGGCTGCTTGAGAAAAACGGTTGAATAAACCTACCTCGGTGCCAGCGGTTAACAATAACTCCCTCCCCTCGCAACGGTCTTGCAAATTTGTTTGTAGGAAAATGCCTTTTGTCTCGATTTAAGATTGCACTAATTTAAAAGCAAAATCTGCTGAATTAAAAAAGGGCTATTCAGCTCCCCGTTGGCTCCTCGCCCCCGTAGATGGAACCTCTTACCCTGCGTACGCACCGCAACGCCACATCTCCTGGGTTTAACGAGTCAGCAAACGCACGCTTTATTTACAGGAAATTCACATTCTTCTTCTTCTTAAGTACCAGAAATTCTGGGAAAAGCCAGCGAAGGCAGAGCTAAACACCCGATCAATCAGGCCCATAGATGGCAGGATGGGACCGTCCAACAGCCCTTGTGCGGGTGCTCTGGGAGGATCACGTACCACATAGGCCTACCCACACAAAACAACACATTTGGATGGTACAGAGGAGTTTTAACCATGAATAATTAGCAAATTGCCATTCATTATTAATTTATTGGAACCACTGCTTCTCTGTGTTTTTCCCGCAAGGCTCAGTCTTTCTATTTTACAGCTGCTGAATTTATTATTAATAGCGAGATCTTGGACATGGCCAACAAGTCTTCCGTTAGGGATATGATAAATCTCGTTATATTCATGGGATCTGGGATGTAAATAACTCTCCAGATGTGAGGTTCTTCTGCAAACAGACCTGGCTATCTGTCCCTGGGACAGAAGTAGCTCTGGGTGACCTTCTGGTGGCCCTCCCCAGCTCACAGCAGCAGCGGGGTTGTCCTCTGTCCTCTGGCTGTGGGTGAGCAGCCCTGGACAAGTTCTCCCCCTGCCCCATCCACCCCACAGGCACCGTCAGGTACAGCTCCATTAGCTCAATCCACGTCACAGCCACACAAAGTCAGCTTCTACCTTGTCCTGAAATCCCTTTTCCCATTTTATGACTTTCTATTAGCTCAAGGTTGTCTTTATGGATCACAGAAAGCCAGAGCCCTTTCGGTAGTAGAAGAAATAATCCTTTTTCCGGTATCCTTGAGCATTATATCTGCACAGGATGCAGACACCAGTAACGGAGAGCACGCTTAGCTGCTCCCAGTGGTGCATCGCTACAACGTCATTTCTATATTATACGGAGATGTGCAAAGAAAGAAAATACAAGTTTCCTAATTCTGTTATAAACATTTTTCTTAAAAATCCCAGCCCCAACAGCAGACAGAAACAGCCAATCAGCAATTACTCAGCGATTTTGGGCAAGGTGCCAGCCCCCAACGACGGAGGTGTGCAGGCATCCACGCTCCCCATGGGAAGCGCTCCCGCTGGAGCTGCGCGTCCTGAGAGTGTTTTGATCAGAGCCCCAGTGCCTCCATGCATCTGTTGGGGTGTCGCCCGGGAATGCGGCGGGTGTGCGACGGCGCTCCCGAAGCATGGCCGTTACTGGCCTCTGCGCTAACGATGCCATCTCAGACCATATTGCACCAGTACAGTTAACAGTTTCAAAATGCAGGCTGAACTAAGACATCAGTGTCTGATTTTTAACATTTGTCCAGTAACATGATGATCAAATTATACTTAACCCTATATTTGACTATCAAACCTTGCAGCCAACCATTAACCACTATCACGTCCCCCACACGTACCTGAAGCAGCACATATGTTCAGCTATCATTGCCAACAAATTAAATGTAAGTAGCATTTCACGAGAGAAAACTCTCTCTGAAGGATTAAAGAGCCATACTTCATAATCTGCCACCCTGTGATTCTTCTTATTTATTTATTTATTTATTTAAGTGATATTCTTTCTAGATAACATTAATGCAAACTATGAGCAAGGAAAAAGTTCCACCAAACGATCTTCCTTCCTAACTGAAATCTAAACCACGACCTTTTGGAAACCTCTCCTTGTTTTGAGTAGATTAAAAAAATCGTAGTACAAAATAAGACATTCCATCTTGGCCTTTCAGCCAAACCTCTGAGCTGACATCACCCCCATATTCCATTCCCTGAGGTCAGCACCAGACCCACGTCTCAGTATTTTCTCGCGGGCTGTTCCGCTTCGCACATCCCATATCTTTCATGATGGAGAACATCTATTTTTATGATTTGTAACAATATGAAATTTTCAACCTCTGTATCTCAAAGTGCTTTTTAAGGGTGGCTACATGGTACCTCAACAATTTAAAGCTGATAAAAGAGACAAATTCAGCTCTGCTTGGTTCAGAATTAAACCAAACCTTCATTTCACCTTCTCTGAATTGCAAATGCACCAAATACTATCTGCTTCTGGCATAATATTCCTTTGTTTCTACTTCTCCCATTTTCTGTTCAAAATAAGTGCAATGTTGTTTCCACTTTGTTAATGATTTCTCAGATATTAAATAAAACGGCAGCAAAGGCTTCGTGCTATTTTCTGCTTATTATGTCTCTTCTGCAGCAATTTAGAACATCCCGACAATACATGTCATACAGGAAGCATGTTCAGAAAGAAGTTTCATGGCTAGAAGGCAACAACTCCAGGATATAAGCAACTGAAAATCTACATTTTCACTCAATAAGGAATATTTTTATGTAGAGAAAAGCGTACAGGATATATTTTAAGTTTTGTCTTTCACTTTGATCACTATTAGAACAGTTTAGCACCAAAGTTCAACTATGACCATCTTCAGATGTCACTAACAGATGGCAGGGCATGCAACAAATGTGAACTACTACAAATCCACGGAAAAAAAATATCTTTCAAGCAAGACATTTCAGAGCCATTTTAGATACCCTTCATGCTAAATATTGTAATGCTTCTTGCCTTTTGCAAAAGGTGTAACTTCAAGTCCTCCACGACTGCTCTGTACCAGAGGTCAACGACCAACAAACCGACCTGCGAGTGGGGCTCTGGCACACCCCAGTTATTCAGCTCAGCAGACTCCTTGAAACAGCTGAGTTTTTAACTTTATTTACAGTGATGCCGTAGCAACTTGTCATTGCTATTCCGAGCAGAGAGATTTTGTCATGCTCTCTCTATACCACGACTGCAGGTTGGGTTCAGCTGTGGGTTTTTTTTGTAGGTTCATAACTCATTGATACCCTCAAAATGTGGCATCACTTTCAGCACAGAAACCCTTCTGCAGCACCAGGTGCATAATAACCAGGTGCATTATTTCCCCGTACTGACGAACGCAATGGTATTCATATGCCTTGTGAAGAAACCAGGGAAAAAAAGAAAATCACTACTTTTTTTCTGGCTTTTGAATCCATGTATGTGGAAACAAACACCCATGAACATTTGCCACGTGTCCATGTTACTTACGGTTGAGAGGCAGGCTGGCATTGGTCGTCCCTAGCTTGTTGGCAGCGACACATGTATAGTTGCCAAAATGCTCTTCTGTCACATTGGTAACAGTAAGAAGTGATCTTGTACTATAATTTTTAATAGTAATTCCTTGTTGACCATTGATCAGTCTAGAAAGCAAAAAGAAAATTTCTGTAACTCATATACCATAAGCAATAATTTTCTTTTTTTTTTTTTTTTCTCTTTCTTTCTCTATTTTTCTATATTTTTACAGACATCACTGGTAGCACAGTAAGCTGTCTGCAGCCGCGGGGGTCTGTCGAGCAAAATTATCACAGCAGCAGGTCAGAGGCGCCACGGGCAACACGAGCTGCGGGGTGTTGAGGGGAACAGGTTCTGCCTGTGTGTCCTGCAGCCGAACGAGAACAAAGGCTGACACCGGCGGCCCCGTCTGCCTGCCCATGGGAGGATATAATGGAGAGCTTCCAGTTTCGATTGGGGAAACCTAACTAAAAATTTAGATACCCTATTTGGGGCAGAAAAGTATTATGGTAAGCCTTTCGGAGAGAGACTTTTTAGGCTCTGGAGATTGCTCGAGTCCTTACACACCAACAGCTGATGGCAGATGAGGATTAGGCAACCAGAATGGTGACTATGTAGGATGGTGACCAAAGTTATTTTACAGTTCTCTGCAGCTACGGATGAGACTTGCAATTGGGAAAGATGTGCTACAGCAGCGCTGCACCCTGCGACAGCAACCTGAACAGGAACCGAGTCCCGAAACGCAGGACAGAGCCAAACCTGGGCTCTCTTCACCTGGCTCTGTCCATCCCTCCCCCAGTTTCACAGGAACTGTGCGGGTCTTCTGACGATGCTTCCAAAGCCACCTCAGAAACACCTCTGCTGCACTGAGGCAAAGGAAGATGACCAATTTAAATGTTGCTCTTGTAGGTAAACCATGTCTGATCAAACAGCGAGATGAGAAGGGTAACCACGTTGTTAAAATGCTAGCTACAGGTGATGACTCGTAATTCCTTATATTTCACATGAGGAGCAGAGTTCCAGGTTAACTATAAAATTTTTGTTTGATATATTGGAAGATATAATCACATATCCTGGGAATGAAGGCAATCCTTTAGCATTCTGTCTAAAAAATGTTTCAAGTCTATCATTAATTGCACTTCTGCTTATTGTGGATTGAATACTTTTCCCTGTTACATCAGTGCCTCTGTTCCCATTTAATCACTATATGTTGCTGCACGTACAGGGGGTTTCTGAAAGAGGGGACATTTCAGTTAGATAGAAGGAAGAAATTCTTCCCTCTGAGGACAGTGAGGTACTGGGACAGGTTGCCCAGAGAAGCTGTGGCTGTCCCATCCCTGGAAGTGTTCAAGGCCAGGTTGGATGAGGCTTTGGGCAACCTGGTGTAGTGGAGGGTGTCCTTGCCCATGGCAGGGGGGTTGGAACTGGATGATCTCTGAGGTCCCTTCCAACCCAAACCATTCTATGACTCTATGATTCTCTTTCCTGTGCAGCTTGTGTGGCTCTAAAGGACCCTGGTTCACTCTGTGCAGCCCACTAGTGAGGAAAGGACATAGTGCATCCCATGGACACCCATGGTTTTGGAAGAAACAAAAAAAATGAGATTAAAATGCCTGATTTTTGGTGAACGCTGCAGTTAGAAGATTCACCTTTTCTCCAGACTTGCAAAAGGCAGAAGTTTGTCCTTTCAACCCACTCACACGCTTCTGCACATGGATGTTCTCCTCCTAAAACTGCTCATGTCAGTCCCTGCTTTTTCTACCCCTCCTGCAGAGAAACCCAAGAACCTCTTCCCCTCCAAAACGCTCCCTGCTATGACACCCCGGTGCCCACACGCCGCGGCTCACAGCCAGTGATGGCACATCCACAGCCACTCAGCTGCACACCCCTGGCACTCTCTCCAGCCCCAGGTCCACTTTCCTTGGGATGTCCCTTTCCCATGGGGAGGACATGAGCTGCAGCCATGGCTACCTCCCCTTCCCGCTGCCTTTCGGGGTTTGAACCCCCTGTCCCCTCTCCTACCCCTCTCCCAGGGGACCTCGAGGTACTGGAGCAATAGCTCCATTTCCACCTATGGCTTGGCCCTACCGGCTCTTCCCGAGCCACCTCCATCCATCCTCTTGGCCCACAGCTCCAGTTTGAACTACAGCATCTCTGTTTTTCAGCTATAAGGTTTAACTCATTTTTTTTTTGTCCAGAAAACAATGTGTGTTGGGATTTCTGCCCTCTTGATGCCCCGTCCTCATGGCAGCAGCCAGTATCACCCTGCCACGTCCCTGCTGGGAACACTGACACTGGGGGGCCAGAACTGGAAGTGGAGTAAATGGAATGGGAGAGATACACATGTCAATAAGCCACGTAATTAACGGACCGAGGAGTCGGCATGAGTTAGCTTAAGCTTAGCAGTTTTGAGGATTTCCATTTGCACTCGTTAGAATCAGATGCTTTTACTTTTAAATTAATTACCCCCACGTGCTGCTCTGCCCGCTGATTGACTGAGCACAGCGTTCGCCACTTGTCGGGCTTTTACCAAGTTACTTCTTGGGCTGGAACAGCATTTTAAGTTGTGTGCAGCCACCCTACACGTTTCTTCACCTTCCTGCTTTGTAGCACCGGCTGGGAAGGGAAGAGCAGTCTCCTTTTCATCCCAGAGGTTATGCCTACGCATCCAAAGATCACATGTCAGTACCAGCCCCGAGGGGTACCCACCTTTGGGTTTATATTTGAATACCTTCATGTTATTATAATCTATTAAGCCATTACGATGGGGTTTGTTATTTCAAAAGTAAGTCTTGTTTGCTTTCTCAAGGGTGAGGGGATTAATATTTTTAGATAGATGACTTTTGGGCCTTGCCCCATGGCTGTTTAATGTCTGAGATCTGATTTCTGCGTAACCTGTAACATAACATATGGAACAGTTGTGAGTTCCAGAATCTGGGAGTCGGCTCAGCGAAGCCATCCTCCTCTCTGCAGGGAAGCCTTGTACAATTTTAAAAGCCAAACGCTTTTATAACATTAAGATGCTTTCACTAGCTTTCCCCCCAGATTTCCAGTCCTGTGTTAAGGTGATGCAAGCGTGTATTTTGGGTTTCTAATTGGGATTTACCCCACCACAGGTGGTCACAGTGATGACGCCCGTCCCAACTCACCCCACTCTCCCCATCTCGGGGTGCCCTCCCTGGGAGGGGGAGCTGCCGCCTGCCCTGGTGCCTGGGCACGCCTGGCCATGAAGAGCAAGTGTGCTCAGCAGCTGTGCAGCCACCCAACAGCTGCTGCCTGGAGTTGAAGGCAAAGCTCTGGATGGATAGAGGGCTAAATGGTCTGACACCCGCCTCTGAGACCCCTCCTCACCTTCCCCAGCTACACTGGGGGAGCAGAGGTGATCAGCCTGCCCCAGGGGTCCACACACGGCCCCCTGCGGGCTGCAGCGCTCGGGGCTTTGGGCTCCTTGACGTGCGCTTGGCCAGGGAAGAGTATTGCAAAGGCAACTTGTGCGCCGGCGCGTCGGGAAAGTTAAGGAACAGCAGCTCTTGTGAGCTCGGTGCTTAGGGAGAATTAGTCCTGCAAGCTCTCTGCCTCCAAGACCAGTAGTTTTAGCTGGATGTAGCCTGCGACTGCTTTTATGTTTGGTTTTAATGGCTGCTTTATGATGACATCATCCCTGGAGCCTGGAAACTGTAGCTTTGGATTTACATTACTCTACGTAACAAGAATACAGTTTACAGACCCAAAAGGCTTGGTTCAGGCACTGAACATAGACTTAGGGTGTCAGATCTCACTCCCACTGTTCATTTATTCAACAGTTCAGCAAGATCTACAAAGAAAAAAAAAAGGTCCCAATCCAAGACTAACTGAAGAAAATGGGATTCTCTCTATTCTATTAGCAGAAGCTATAGCAGGGTGTGCACTCCCAGTATGTAAATTTAGTCTTGTAGTATATCTGCAAATTATCTGCAGAATAATGTACGTGCTACTCTGAACTACCTATGAGAGCCGACTCTTCTCAGTTTTGCATGAAAACCACAACTGAGCCATCCAAGGCTCATTCTGTGCTGGCTTTCCATCATCCAGAGGTAAAGGGGGTGCACAGGAGGAAAAGACAACATGTAAATATCTCCCTCTTTCCCGCGAGTGATGGAGGGTCAGAGATTCCCAGTACCTTTGTAGTCACATCTGCTCAGCGTATCTGTCAACAAGAGTTTAACAAAAAAGGATGGAGCAGTAGATTGAACGGAATTTATGAGCAGTAAGACACAACAGGACAGTGCATTTCTTGCTGATTATAGGAAGCCTCAGGTGATACACCGACTGAAACAGAAAACAGAAGGCACAACTTGGCCATCCTGAATCGCTCCGCTTAGTCTTTCCTGCTGCTGCCGAGGCACTGAACGCGCTCATGAAGAAAGGAATTGGTCAACGTTACAAATAGCAAGGTGATTATCACGCTGGAAACAGCTAATGGAATCCAGAGTGCTAAAACCCGCGCTGCGCTGCAATTCTTTCCATATAAAATACGTTTCTGCTGCAACTGCCCCCCAACATGTGCACTATATAAATATAACATGCATCTTTGGAAAGAGGATGCAGATGAATTTTGCCAATGGAAGAGAAACATTTACTGTTATATATAGTAGAGATCAATTGCATTGTTTTAGAGAATGCTGCAGGATACGGTCAAAGTGCAATAGTTACGACTGCTCTAAAAACTCACAAAGATGAGCAGCTAATGCTCCTGAAGAGGAGCAGCTGGCCAGTGAGAAATGAGCTGACAGATGGCTTTCTGTGAAAGATGGTCATTAATATTCTCATGTCAACTCCCAGGTTTAATGGGATCTTCGAGCTGAGAAACCCAGCACTTGGAAGCCAGGAAATTCCAGAAGCTAGGAGGTGTGTATGGACAGTCGCTTAGAAGGCACAACATCCCCTTGCTTTTGCACCAATATGTAAACTTAACAGAAACCAGATTTTAAATAAGCTGAGAGGTGTAAAAAAAAAGTCTTATTAAAAAAAAAAAGAAAAATCTACTTGTTCAATGAGCTGCTTTTAAAATGAAGATGACCCTACAGAGGTGGCTGTTATCCTTACGTGGCACTAATGACCTGATAGGGAGGAGGACTGTTAGGAAAACCAAAGCACATGGTCGGTTTTTAGGGTTTGAGCAGAGAACACTCCCCTGACCCTCTTGGATGCTGCGATGCACAGCAGGTCTCCTCGAGTCTGTGGACTATAGACCTGTGGTCTCAACCACTAACGGCACAACTGGGTGAGAATTCGTACTCATTAAGGTTTGGTTGAAAGTCTTGCTCATGAACCAACCTTCCAACCCCAACACCCGTAGCAGGGAAACCTATGAAGATGAATTTAGAAAAAAAAAAAAAAATCCTTTTGGTAGACTTTTTCAGTGCCTTTCTGGTTACCACACTTAAATAATTACTAAAGCACGTTCAAATGTTAGGCTCATTATTTCAACTGTCAGTACCGCAGCCCAGGCACGGACAACCTGATTACACCTCCAGAAACTACGACCACAGGGAAACCAAGAAACTCCCCCAAAAGCCGCGGCATTAATTGCAGGACAGCCCTCTGGACTTGTCATCATGGGGGACAAGCCTGAGCCCAGCAGTCTCCTCTCTGGGCCACCTGGGTCCCCCGTGGGTGGGCAGCATCCCTGGCAGCACGAGGGGTCGGCGAGTGCCGGCTACTTACTTCCTCTCTCCTTTGTACCACTCAAAGACCGGGGCAGGAACTCCTGCACCTTCGCACCGTATCAGTCCGTTCCCTCCAAGCATCACACCGCTGGATTTAAGTTCCTGAATTGTGGGGGCAACTGAAAAAAAAGAATCGTAAAATGGATATTTGCATCTCGATAACGCGGATTGTTCGACGCCGCGTCTCTTCGGCACGCTTTGCGTCACTCTCGGCCCGGCGCCTGTTTTCCAGCTTGGTTCACATTCAGCCACGTTTTCTTCCAGCCGTGTAAAAATTATCCCACACAGCAGATTCTGATACCGATCTGTGTAGCTGGTGTAAAAAACACAACTGAGACATGAAGAAATATCAATCCCATACTGAAAAAAAAGCAGTTTTGCCAACTCAGTCACTCAACACAAAGTATAACTCTCTACAAGCGTTAGTGTCGTGTGAGACATATTTAAAATCTGAGAAAAACTCATCAGAAGCAGCAGAAAGCACACGAAGCCCCAACACCAGTGCTGGTTGAGAGGCTGCGAGGTCTGGCTGGGCTCGGCCGGAGGGATCCCCGCAGCGGGGAGGGGTACGGCAGTGCCCGGGGCACAGAGCCCAAAGCAAAGAGAACATGGCCAACACCATGTGTCTTCTGCATCGCGTCTTCTGCATGTGCCCCATAAACCACATAGGCTCAGATGGCCTTTGAGATCTTGTTTTGCACATTAAAAGAACAAACTTACCTTCGTAATTAGGAGCCAACCGTAAATACCGTATAACAGCACGACTTTTCCGGTGTTACACCGAATACAGAGTTGTTTTGGTAAATACATTTTGTCTTTAAAAATAGTAAACATTGTAAATAGCAATAAACGTTTTAAGCTTAGGACCACAGATACAAATAAAGATAAAAAGTGATTGTCAGTTTTTCCAGTTGCCAGTGAGCAGCAACCATAAGCTGAAAACAAAACAACAAATTCCTCAGGAAAGAGATTATCAAAGGAAAGGCTGAACAACAACTGCCTTCTCCCTGGAATTTCTTTTACGTTTTCTGTTTTTAAACAGTAATTTATGTGCATCATAAAAACGCTATAAAAACCAGAACGCCGAACTTATAAATAAAAATCTGTTTATTTTTTCCCGAGCAGTTTTCCAGATGTTGCTCTAAGGTGTTTATGTACGTGTAACACGCCGACTGCCTTTCGTCTGCTGCGTTCCCATCTCACCACCGGTGGCTCAGTGTGCCACGTTGAGAGACCACAACGTTCTATGGGACCTGGCCACGCTCAAGCAGCACGAGGGGCCTGGCAGAGCAGAATGGGTGCCAGGTTGTGGGTTGGCTCCATCACACACCCCTGGCACACTCGTCCTTCACCGACACCACCACCAGCTGCTCTTCCAGATGTGTAGGATGGGACACGGCGAAGGAATGCAGCTGCCCCAGCCCGAGGAGAGCGAACGCGCGCTCCAAGCACCTGCGCACGAGTCGCAATGTTTAGCAGAACCATGTGAGGGCATTTTGGGTGGCGTTAAACACAATTGGTTCTCTCTCGCCCATCGCTCATGGCCTACCCCCAAGTCAGGCAAACAGACCACAATTTCCCACAGCTGCCAAACACATCCTCTGCTTTCAACATTCTTTCTCCAATGATTACATTGAACCAATCCATAAATTCATTAACTTTCAAACAATAACATTAAATTTTCAAGTGGATAATAAACATAGAACCAATTTGCATGACTGCTTCTCCGTAATCTGCAGATTAGATTTTTTTTGTTACTCCATAAAAATAGCAAGGACATAGAAATCTCACTGCTTCCTGAGAAACAAAGCAGTTTGTGAGCCAAGACTTTCAAAAAATAACATCGAGTGAGACTGATCACATGAATTGGTTACATTTTGCCTCCGTTCCTACAGCACCGCCTGACACCAGCAGCTACTCAGCACCACAAAGCTCATGGCTCAGCTTGTGCTTCTGAGCCCTTCAAACAAATAACCACCAAAATTGTGCAAGATAAGCCATACAGAAGCAAAACTCGTGTGAGATAACCCGTACAAAAGCATCACCTGAATGATGGAAGAACATGGAAGTCTACTGCACGGACATACGGTCAACAGAGGTTGCTGGAAGCTGAACTATGAGCGGGAGGTCTACCTTCCACTACTCACCCCCAGGACCGAGGACTGCTGCCAGCATTCCCACCGCATCCCTCAAATTGTATGAAAGACATGAACGCTGCAACATACCCCCGAGACATTTCTCCACCACTAGTTCGTGTGTGACCATGGCCAGGGAGCACCACCCTGAGCAAGCAGGTCCTGGGGCTCCTGGCTGCTGGGCACCGAGCCCAGATCCCGGCGTTCTGACAAGCACATGTCTGCTTCCCCGTCCATCTGACACTGCGGATCTGGATTGCTGGGGGCACCCAGCCCACCTGCCTGCCCAAAGTGAGGCCAGCCTGACCCAGGTGGTCCTGATGGACCCCTCCATCCTGAGGTTTCAAAGACCCAGGGAGACCCACAGCCTGCCTGGATGGCATCCCACTGGCACTTACCGCACGCTCACAGGGACGCATCTCGCTGTAGTTTTAAACTGTGACTTACTTTGTCCCCGTGATGTCAATAGCAGGACTAAATTTCTCTTTGAAGAAAAACTTTTACCTTTTCAAAGGCTCGTGCCCCATTCTCTCATTTATCTAAACTTCAGCCTAAAAGAAACTCAGTTTGTTCTCTCTTATTTCAGACAGCACGCTTCCCCAAAAACGTGCTTGTTTTTGTGGTGCCTGGAAGTCCTCCAGTTCACCCACGCTTCGCCTGGGTGAGTGTGCCCGACACGAGGTGCAGTACTACCGTGGAGATGCTGCCAAGTGGAACAGGGAGGTTGCTCCACGTGTTCTGCACGTGATGCTTCCCCACACGTGATGACATCCTGCCCTTCCCGACTGAACACGGCATT